AATTAAAAAATATAATAAATCAATCTATTAATTAAATTAATTACTTCAGTTTAGGCGGAAATTAACAGCATCTGCATTAAGATGATGTGTTTGAGGTCCTCTGGTGGTCTGTTTGTGCAACATGCATGACATGCAGTGCTTAAGGTTGAGATGGCTTTCAAGATCAAGACAAGCTTTATTATCTCCGAGGGGACATTTGATTTGTAGTCAGCAGCATAAATAACACACATAATGCATAAAGCAAAAAAAAAAAAAAAAACACAAATCGCATAATTAAAAAACGTAATAGTCGTAGGAACAAATGAGAATTTAAATCGATTTTTTTCTGCACCGAGGGAAAAAAATGCCTCCTCCCTGAAAATAACAGCTGATACTCTGAAACAAAGGATGTGTGCCATCACCCCAAATCCTTTCTGCCTTAAGGGTCACCCTCCCTCTGTACAGGAGGTCAGGATCATTTGGCTTCATATAGTACCTGCCACTTTGCTACACAATTTAACTATATGCTCCAACCTCTTCTCCAACTTATCTAAAATCAGTAACTATTTCCTTTATTTTAAACACATTAAATGTTTAGAAGGGACTGTCCACACCATGCTTGAGATTCATCTACAACTGGGTCACGATCTGCATCATGAAGCAGAGAGATGATCACTGAGTCGTCTACAAATTTGATGATATGTCAGTCCTGATCGAGGTTCTGACTTTCATTTGTATAAAGAATAAATAAAAGTGGAGACACACACCTGAGGGGAACCGGTGGAAGGTAAAGTACATCTGATATTGTTGACTTTTACTTTCTGAGGTCTATCTGTTAAAAAGCCTCACTGATTCAGTTCACAAACATAAAGGTAGAAGAAGAAGAAGACTGATTCCACGTTTTACTGTATATAATTACCATTAATTCTCTGTATTGTGCCTTTAATGTATGTTCGCCTGTTTGTCCTGCAAGATTGGTCGGCCTTCTTTTTTCTTTTATTGCATGCTGTAAATTCAAAGTCCATCCAAATATTGCAGGAAGGCCCTGCATCATGACAGATATACTTCAGAGATATCGATCTATCCAGTTAGGAAGCATAAACCATTATGAATCTGCTGTGAATTGTGAATTTTACCTGCTTTGGTGCAAATGAAAGTTATAACAAGACATTCCCCCAAAAGAGAAGGATTTGCAGGTGCTGGCCACAGATATTTCCTTTTCTCTTTTTCTATCCTGAAGGATTTTTCTCTACTTTTGCTTTTTGATAGTTTCCATGCTACTGCTGGCTAAGATAATAAATGCAGCTTATTCAGCTCCTCAAAGATGCAGGAGAAACCATGAGGTGGACCATTACACACAGGGAGAGTGGACAGGGCCATATAAGGGTATCAACAGCGCAGCAGTACTAGAATGAGTACTTCGTGCAGACTAGTCGTGCATGTTTCTGAGCAAAATGTCAGAAACATGAGCTTTGAGGGCTCAACATCCTTTAGTGAGACCTGTGCTCAAAGCTCAGAACAATGAAGCTGAATTGGGATTTGCCCAAGAGTACCAGAGTTAGCGGGTCCACCAGTACTACCGAATTCTTTTCACAAACTAGAGCAAAACAATTGGCTGCCAATGGATTTTGTTTTGTTTTCAAAGCAGTGCATTCTTTTTCAAATGACCCCAAACTGCGCTATACTGCCAAACATACTTCCTAGTCTGCCTTCACACACATATGAACCCACAGCACTTTCATCATTATCACACTGTGGACAAGAGCATTTTTACAGCTCTTACTTTACTTAAGTCGTCACAAAGACAATCACAGATAGTTTATTTAAAAAAGCACATTTTATGACACAGACATTTAATGAGACACCATACGTATTATTGATAGCTGGCATTTAATAAAGCTCAAAGGAATAGAAAAAACAATAACAACCACACAAAAAAGAGATCCATGAACAGTTGAGCATAGTTTGTTAATTGAAAAGAAAATGAGTTCAGAGTTGGAAAAAAAAATACTATGGTTTTCTCTGTATACTTGCTGGGTTTTATACAATACCACACTAAAGCCTGTGTGAGACTTTACGCACTCTCAGCTACACTTTGCATTCAGCACACTTCCTTCAACATCTGCACTGCTTCCATTGGTACACACTTCCATCAGTTAAATGTTGTTACAAAAAATACTTCTATATGCCAAAATATATCTGTACAGTGTAAACACATACTGAAGCAACGTATGATTTTAAAAAAGAAAATGTAACAGTAACGTAAAAGAAATGTAATAAGCATGTCCTGAAGAGGGAACATCTTTGATTAGACTCGACAACAGTGGACGGGGTCCTCAAGTGCTATTTACAACTGTGGACGACCTCGAGGGCGATCACGCTCTTTAACAGTTTATCCACATTAAAGTGACATTTGTAGTGTTTGTTAGATCCAAATGCAACATGGTCAACGGCGAGCATTTGAAAATCGCTCTTAAATTGCACAGACTGATGACACAGTGTGGGATGTCCGTCTAATCTAATACTCACGATAGTCTCATCAGCGACGCTGCTGAGCGGTCACACTTTTTGCATCTGTAGCACAACAAAAGGCCCCCGGACGACAACATACCGACACGCACGTGATAAATTATAAAAGCTACTCAAAAAGCTACCACAAGCTGACTCGTTCATCTTTAATGGAACTGCCATTATATACAAACTAATTTAACTTATACAGGTACAGCATATTATGTTTCTCTGAATAAAACCTAAGACGCCTTTTTTTAAAAATCATCTTCAAAGCATCGAAATCGCACTGAAATAAATTAAGAGCCTATTGCAGGTGCTTTCCAGAACAGTTTGATGGTACTGCACATGCTCGATAATCTCATCATTTTATTCGGAAAGTAAGTGCAATCACCAGCTGAGGTATTTTGAACCCTCACTCTTCATGGCACTTCACTATACACACACACACACGCTCATTCGAACACACACAGACACTAAATTTAACCGTCTAGAAGTTTTTCAGTCACGTGTACAAAAAACAAACAAACAAAAAAATACATGCCTCTGATCAAAGATGGGGAGGCGGAGGAGGGGGGGGTAAGCTGATCCCTCATCTGTGTCGCAACAGGCGGTGACAAAATGACGTTAACACTCACGGTGTGTTCGTATGACACAAAACAAGCATAAGGCCACACATGATCAACTCAGAGAAACCAAACGGCCTCTTTCAGAGGCGTGACATTCAGTGCTTCAGTGGTTCAACTAGATAAGGCATTGGTTCGCCTCTTAATATTTTATTCCTTCTCTCTTTTTTTTGGCACATGAGAACATTGATGCACGTGCTGACGAGTACACACTTGGGGCTCGTTTGAAGCTGTCCAAATGGTTACAGCCAGCTCTGATTTTGTGACAGTAAATCTGAGGCCCACCCGTGTTCTTACATTCCAGTTGTGATTTCTAAAAGTGGGAATGTCAATAAAAGAGCAAAATCTGCAAAGTCCTGTGTTTTTGCTCCGACGGAGCCCAACCCAATCTGGGCACTACTTGGGGTGTTTTTTGGGCGTGCCCTGTTTCTTGGTCTGCCACAGATGGCTGGCGATGGTAATGGCATCCACGCTGGCGGACATAGTTTTGGCAGGGATCTGGCTGAACTGCTTCCTATCGGAGTTGTACTTGTACAGAGCTTCGATCATCTTTGTTGTAATATTTTTCGGGCCGATGCCGGCCAGTTTGGTGATCTCCTCGGTTTCAGGGCAGTAGGTGTAAACGGACCGGAACTGGCAGCCGGCATCGCGAAACAACACCAGGAAGTTGTTGGCTTCAGATTTCTCCATTTCCTGTGGTGGCAAATTAAAAGAAAAACAAAAAAACCCATCTCATTACGGTTTGTTACGCTCTTTTTAGTCAGGAAAAATATATTTATACACACAGATACAAAACATACATCAAGTATCTTGTTTTTCTGCCCTTCATTGACTTTGCCAGCCAGGCAGCAGTGAGCCAGGGCGTTCTGGATGATGTGCTTGTTGGACTTGGCACTGGGCTCCTTATAAAGTTTAGGTCCTGTGGGAACAACGCACAAGCGTGAGACACAGACAAAAAAAAAAATCCTTCATTGTTCAGCAGCTATGCAAATGTAAACAAACTATCT